TACTACTTCTTTTACCACAAATTCACAATGTTTAGAAATCAATATCGCTACACCTTTGGATTTGGAAGTCCCAAATACTTTTTCATAAATCTGTATATCTTGTAATTTCAGTTCATTAAGTCCATCCTTTGATTGATGAGTCTCTTGTAGGTAAATAATATCCACCTTGTTCTTCTTCAATAATTTTTCTATTCTCTTCCTCTTTGTTACAGACCCTAAGCTACTTTCACATTTAAAGTAGCTACCCTTATGTTTTCCCCCATTTCCATTCTATATCTCATCTTTTTTGGTCCCATTGTGCATCTCACAAAACAAAAACACCCCCCCCCAAAAAAAACAAATTCACATTGTTCCCTGGCTAATCCCCTTATCCCTAACTTCCCACTCTACACTTAACCTCTTTTCCTCACCCCCGCTTCCCCACGCCTCACTAAAGTTTGACGGGAGCTCTGGGAGGGAGGAAGACGCCACCCACACCAGTCTGTACCAATGCCAGATCCTCATTCCTATTTTCACCCTACTCTGTTTTTCCCCCCTTAATACCTTTCCTTCTTTCATTTGACTTGTTTATTTCTCTTAACGTCCTTATCCCTTAATCTTTCCTCTCTCTTCTCCATCCCCACAAAAAGAAAAAAAATAAGCAAACAGAACAACAAAAATACCCAGACAAAACAAAAGAAGGAGGAGGAACAGTGTAAAAAAAAACCTTTAAAAAAACAAACAATGGGGGGAAGCGACAGTATAAAACTGTAAAAAGGGAAAAAAGAGGGAAAGAGAAAAGAAAAAGAAGAAAAGGGAAGTCTTCAAGCATCAAATGGTTTTTCTCAGTCCAGATATCTTTCATGTTTCCACTCCTTGCGGGCCTGCTTGCTTGCACCTTGGTCATCTTGATCTTCTTGCCATAGGCCTCATGTGACTAAAAAGTCCTTGCCTTCTTCAAAAGAGAAGATTCTGAAGAGGACTCGCATCTTTCCATATTTTTAAAAAGACTGGGTGACCCCAGTTGTATCTCCGTCTGTTCTTGATTAGAATTGATGTCATGGGTTTCCTCCACTGTATTGATTTGTTGCTTAGATCCTGATAAATCTGTATTGGATTTAAGCTATAAACTAATAACTCTAGTTTTTCTTTAGTGACCTTGAGAAATTGCTCTTTTTTAAGCATAGTTGAAAAACTTCAATATTATAGGTCTTGGCCTCTTGCTTCTGGGGTTCCCAACAAAATGAGTTCTCTATATCCTCTTCAGCCATATGCTGGGAGTTCATAATAGAATGTATACAGGTCACCACTTCCTGCTTAAGGTCAGCTTATACAGGTCACCACTTCCTGCTTAAGGGGGTCAGCTCCTTTTTGCAGCTCAAAATTCATTATTTTGATGTTGTTGCATCTTGAGCTATTTTCCAGATAAATCACTTTCTTTTGCAAATCGTCTATCTTCTGTTGTTTCGCCTTTGTTTTCCCTTCATTCTGTTTCGATAGATCTTCCGTTTGCTTTACTCTGTCCTCCATTTTTACTATGCTTGCCTTTATCCCTGTACTTCTCCCTGGACTGCTTTCCTGTCCTTTCCCATCTGTTGACATTCCTTCACTAAACAGTCTATTTTGGAAAGAACCTGTTCCAGTTTTCTATCAATCTGGCATGATATATCTTTAGCCAGATCTTTCACACAAGTTGTTAATTCAGCAATCCTTTTTTCCATACTGGCTTCAATAAGACTGCTCAGAGAGGTAGCCCCTCTCCCCCCTTATTGGTTGGAAGCATCCTAGGATCAGAAAGAGATCATCTGCCACAGATAGCAGTAGATAGCAGTAGAATGGCTTTGTGGTTCATATAAGAGATACAGGTCCTTTTAGCAACACAGTGTGCATCCAGTAATAGAAAACATCTGTAAGGAGTAGCTACTACCTAAGAAGCATTATTTGCTTGTTAAAAGTATTTGTTAATTGCTTTTCTGCCCACCAAGGCTACCAAAGCAATATACTTTAAAAATAAAGTTTAATCTGTGTTAAGGAAACTTTAAGATAGTTTTTTAAAATAAGTGTTTAAAAATACAACAGTACATACAGTTTTGGTTGCCTCTGTTCCCAGAAGTTCAGCAAGGAAGGAGAAGACCTTGTCTCCTGTATTCCTCAGCCTTGCTACTTGGGATGGTAAGACTTGTCACAGGACTTTTGTTGGAATTAGTGGGGTTTTTTTAAGTAGAATTAGTTTTGATCCAACATAGCCCTGCAGACATCATTCTGTATAGTTAGATAACTAGATTGAGGGGATGAAACACAATATCCACATGAAAACAGAACTGTCCCCACAAAAAACATGACTGTATAAAATACAATTTAATAAAATAGTACAAAAGTACATCTTTAAACAGGTTATGCCCACTTAGGGAGATTTAGAAAGAAGGATATGAAATATTCCCTATATCTTCCTCTGTTTTGTTTTCTTGCTCATCCCCAGATGACTGGCACAAGAGGAAAGAACGAGACACTATAACCACCACTGGCCCTGGGTGGGCTTGTGACAGAGGGGTACCTGTAGAAACAGTTCATGGTCCACATCTACCCCTCTTTGCTCATATCTAGTGTCTGTAGATACAAGAACAAATTAAAATGACAGTAACAGTATTTCTTCTCACTCCTTATAAGATGATCAGCCATTGATACTGCAATGAAGTCAGGTGTCTTCCCAGCTGTATCAATGCAGTAGGAGTAGCTGAAAAACCTAACATAGGTGGCCTGTGGCAATATGAACAATATAGTGTTTAAAAGATCACTCGTTCAAATTATCCTACCCAGCAGCTGCAAAGTGTTTCCACCACTCTCATGTCTTTGTCTCTGTTTTGTGCCCTGCATTAGGCAGTGCCACTATGATTAGTTATCTCCACTCAGACCTGTGGAGGCTGATATGCTAGCTCATGCCACATTTTCCTCTTCAATGGGGCTCTGTAGCCAGTGAGGGTAGCTAGCTAGCGGAAGAGCCCCCTTACCAGGGGTTTCCTTCAGGCTATGAAACAAGGAAGACTCTGAAGAGTTGTGATCTAGCAGAGGCTGTGTCACATCACTGGCTGTTTCTTGACCAGACATGTCCACAAGGGATATGGCATCTTGGGGATTAGCCACGGCATTCTCCTGAGCTCGGTCACCTAGTACCTCAGTCTGGGCCTCAGAGTGGTCAGGGTAGGCATCTGTGAGTGGGACTCCAGTGGCCTCGTGGCCAGGGTCTCCCTCGCCCTCGGAGGGGAAATTAACATTCATGTTTGGAAGAAGCTGCCCAGGAGGGTCACAAGTGCAGTCGGTGGTCTGTGTGTCCTGACAGAGGCAGCTATAGGTGGTGGATGCCTCAGAAACACTGCTATTCTTGCGCCTCAATAGAGACAGTCGACGTCCAAAGCCGCCAGGTGTGGGGCCTGTAGAAAGCAGGCGGTTCAAGAGGTGGGCCGGAACGTGGCGGTTATGTTCAAGGCCCTCGGCAATCTCCTCAAGAGGCTGGAACTGCATGTCTTCCTTTGGTAAACTAGAAACAAATGGGGGGGTGGGGTGGGGGGAAGAATCAAAAAGACCAGATCAGTTGTCAGGAGTTGCTCCAGAGCAGTTTCCCCCAATGTGTGCAATATCCCAATATGTTGTTCAACCACTACTCCCAGAATACTACTGACCCTTTTGATATGAGTGTGTATGTTGAAGGCTCGATTCCAAAAACACCTGAAAGCTGAAGCATGGGAATCGTGCACTATAGCTCACTGGTGATAGGTCTTTCACACTCCCCTCATCCTTTCACACTCACAAGGAAGGACTGGGTAGTCGTTCTATTTGCACAATCTCACTCTTGCCACTAGGGGGATTTATGACTACAGGGAGAAGATGGCAAAGTAGTCCAAAAAAGGAGGGAAGGGAAAACCAACAAGAAAGAGAGCTCAAATCGCAGGTTGAAGCCAAGTCGCAGAGGTGCACCACTTCCTTCACCAGCTACCAAACCTAAAAACTCTGTTCCTCTGCTCTATAGCAAGAACAAGCCTTACGTCATGTCAAAAGTGGAGCCCTGGAACGACGGCTGTTGCAAGAGAAAAACAGTGGCTGCTGTGTATGGGGCTCTAGGATTTGAGGCATCCCAATACCGATCTTTCTCCAGGAGAGGCAGGTCCCCGTACATCTCATCCACAGCCATCATAGAGACCTGTAAAGGAAGAGGGGATGCCAGAAGACACAAGAATACTGGTCTGGGTATGTAAAACTTGGACATGCGGTGCCCGCACGAGATTCAGGGCCCATGTGAATCCTTGGAACTTCAAACGTAGGGACTAGTAGTGGATTTGCAATTATTGAGTAACACAGAGGATCCTGTACGTGGGGAACAGGGAATTATAATCCAGCCGTGGCATTGAATTCTTTCCAATGTCCCGGCAGCTTCTGGCAAGGCCGATGATTTCAGGGATGGGGCGATGCTCTCTGATGATCTCACTGGATCCCTGACTGAAGTGCTAGGTAGAACTTTTCCACCTGCTATTTCGGGCTCCGACCAGGGACCCAGCTTCAGTCCTCTTCCCCATTCAGTGAGTGGGGAAAGGAGGAGGGGAGTAAGGCTCTGGCTGATAACATGGCCCACTTTACTTTCACTTCTTTCCAGTGCAGAAAGGGAAGAATCCCTTCTGTCTCTAATCAGTGATGGAAAATATCAAGAATCCCCCCTCAGAATAGCCTCCAGAAAGAGGTTTTAAAGAGAGGAGACAGAACTTGACTGGAGACCTGTGTGGATCACATAAAACCAAGAGGTTGGAAATCACTTGTTCCTCCCACCTGCTCTATGTAGGTTGGTTCTGCTATTGTATTTCAGAAGTGCTGCTTTTTGTACAGAAAAAGAGAAGGGTAGAATTACCTGGAAATTCCTGTCAATCAGTAGGTTGGTTTCAAAATCGTCATCATCTTCCCCAAAAGGGTTAATGAGCTGCTCAGCCACCTGCAGGATGTACAGATCCACAATAAAGGAATGCAATACAATCAGCCTACTCGATCTCAGTGTTCAGCCGTGCATATAGCTTCCTTTTTTGTTGGCAGCAGTGTGAGAATTAGGGATGTGCCAGTTTTTTCTCTCTGTTTTGGACCCCATTTCCCAAAATTCCAATAATTCCTTGGCAGAATTCCAGGCATTCTAGTCCACAGACCCATACCTAAAGATGCCTACATTTCACTCTCCTGGACCAGAAACTATCTCTGAGGCTGGGGGTTGGAGGTCTTGCTTCCTGTTCAAAAAAGGAAGCTGCTGCACTGCTCCCTGTGAGTCATAGTTCTTTGGGAGGCACCCTGTACAGAGTTTAAAGGGCAGCAAGATTATGACTCCTAGGAAGCATCATGGCAGCTTCTTCTTTTGTACATTAAACACAAGAAGCAAGACCTAAGACAGCTATGGAACCTCAGAGGTAGGCCTTGCTCCAGAAGAGCCCAATGTAGGGGTCCGTTAAGTGTGAGTTCGTGGGCTGAAGATCCAAGAATTAAGCATGGGGAATTCTTGGAGAATTCTAAGTGTTGGAGTGAAACCAAAACAAAAAAACATTCCTATTGAGAATAGACATGGCAAGGGAAAGTCACCTCGATCTTTCGTCCTGCGCCCCAAGGTCTCTCCTGTTACCCTCCCAACCACGAATCAGCCTCCTTTCCTCTGCCATGTTTTTTTCCTTGCCCTACGGACAACCTTACAAGTCTCCACCTACAGCCAACCTCTCCTACCTTGAGCCATCCCACGTAGAAAAAGAACTGCAGCAAAGTAAAAACAGGGACCCACAGATCCAGGTCGTGTCCTTTATAACCCTGGTCTGGATCAAGAAATTGCCGTCCAATCAGACAGGAAACGAAGAAACTGTACACCGCAATGGTAACCACCTGTCAGGGCAGAAGAACAAGCAAGGAAAGAGGCTGAAGGGCAGTCACCAAATGTAGGCGTCTTGGCTTAAAGCCCTAGAAATTACAGATTAATTACTCTGGAGCCAGCAATTAATCTGTAGTATTGGCAATGCTCAATTTTTATAAATTGCACTAGGATTGCTATAATAGAAAAAGATTTTCAATGCTACTCTTTCTAGTGTATCTTCAGTGCATGGAAACATAGGGTATGATCAGATGGGAAAGGAGCTTGCATTTTGGACCAATTGAGGCATAGTCTGGGGAGAACATGACCCAGCCTGACCCTGATTCATGCCCAAGCAGGACCTTTTGGGTCCAATAGCAGGGCTACTTTTCTTTGGGGCTGGGCTCTAGTGATTCCTCCATGAAACCGCTACATGGGTAGGTTGCTTTAAGAGACACCACTCCCAGCAAAGTGACCCTTTCTGGTGCAATCAGACATGGTCCTTCCTCATCATATGATCACACCCATGGTTTATTCTAATTTGCACATAAGGTTGGATGAGATCATGGATGCCAATATTTACATAATATTAGGCATAAACAAGATCCCGGCTTTCTCTTTTTAACGAATAAAAATCCATGGCCCTTAGTTATTCAGGGCATGTCCAGATGGGAGAAGTTGGAGTGGTTTGGTCTGTGCTTTAAAAAATTCTTATCCTTAGTGCAATCGAGTTTCTCATTTGAGCAATCCTTTTGTTCACACTGATCAACCTTTCTTCTCTTGTGAGAAAGGTGCAGACCGATATTTAGATTGCTCCAATTTGTTCCCCCCTTTGGATTAAGGACACTCTCCTCTCCACCCACTTCTCCATCTTTTCCTGTGGCTGTCGTTCAGCAGACCAAGATCCCTGTTCTAGAGCTTTGGGTCTTGAACCCAAGATGTAATTGCTGCTTCGTTACTTGGGCAGTCAAATGTATGGATACAGGGAAGTTTAAAATTGCAGGATTTGTCTACACTGACTCTTCTGACTTTCATGGCAAACTCTCACAAAGCAGAAGTTAATACTGTATACAGTTTCAGCATATGTCACTGAAGGATTAAAACAGTGACCATCAGACCTAATACAGAGTACCATACACTAATGAAAAGCCAATTAATTTTTTTCAACGTTCTTCAAGATCTTTAAAAAGGCCATTAACTGACATCCTATATGCTCCTCTAGGGAGAAAATTACACGAATACAGAGGCAGCACCAAAATGTCCCTATTTCTCTGGAGAAGGAGGTTCAAACAGGATGAACAGAACCCATTTACAAATGGAAGGTAACTCACCTGAGTGTAGACGAGTGGTACACTGATCCAGTCATAGTGGTAGAGCATGCTGCATTTGCCACGAAAGATATTCAACTCCTGAAATTCAAGCAAAAACAAAAACTAGCCATGATTAAATCAGACGAGGCACAGAAATATCTACTTAACTAAACCTTTCAGTTTGTTTTCAGCCATGTTTTTGACTCAAAAACAACTTTGGTCACCCAGACAGATGAACCAGGGGGGTGGAGGACGGTCACACTGCTAATTTTCTTGGACCTCCCAATGACATGTGTTAGCAGCACTCCTGCTGGAGAGGTTTGCCCAGAGTTGGGGCCACTGTGTTTTAGAGGTCCTACTCCTATTGAGAGGAGCAATTCCATAAGGTGGTGCTGTGGAACAGCTGCTTGGTCCCTTGATCCCATGTATCCTATGGGATCCCAAGAGATCCTGCCTCATCCCTCTTCCTTTCCAACATCTACGTGAGACAGTTGAGAGAGGTCATCTGGGGATCAGTGGTGAGAGATCAGTATGCAGGTAACATCCAGACCCATTTCTCATTTTCCTCTGAGTCAGATGAGGCAGTGAAAGTGCTGAATTAATGTCTCATGTCAGGAAAGGTCTGGAGGAGGCCAAAAACCTGAAATTTAATCTTGACAAAATGGAGGTGCTGTGAGTAGGCGGTATATAAGCAGCATGCTTTGCTTTTGCTTCATCTGCTCAGGAAAATGCTGTTTGGCCTTTTCTGAATGGGGTTGTGCTCTCTCTTTCAAGAACCAAATTCACAGCCAGGAGGTGCTCCTAGATCCAGGTTTGTCACAAGAGCTCTAACAGGTATCTGGCTGTAGAGCCAGAGGTTGGGAGTTCAATTCCCCACTGTGCCTCCTGTGAGTAAAGCCAGCTTGTGTAGCTTTGGGCAAGCTGCCCAATCCCAGGATGCCCCCAGCAGAAGAGAATGGTAAACCACTTCTGAGTCCTCGCTACCTGGAAAACTCTAAAAAATGGTATCCATGCCAGTATTGTTGTTGCTGTTTTGTTCATTTATATTGCTGTGTGGTTATTGGCAGAATATAAACAAGTAACATTTCCTGTATTCACCACAGTGACAGAACACTTTGTGTTCTGCAAGAGACCATGAATCAGAGAAGCAGCACCAAAGCATAGTCCAAGGAGAAAAGAAGATCAAGAGAAGCAGTAGATGCTAGCAACTCCATCCTTGCAGCTTCATATCCTTAACCGTGTATTATTTTATTTATTTATTTAGTTAGTTAGTTAGTTAGTTAGTTAGTTAGTTAGTTAACTTACATGCTACCCACACTACTCAAAAGTCTCTAGGTGGCTTACAACAATTTAAATGCAATAAAAGGATAAAACAATTAAAATACAATTAAAAATACAGTACTCTAAAGTTGCCATCAGGACCCACAGTTGATATTATTTCAATAAAAAATATTCTGGAACAGGAAGGTTTTGATCTGGCGCCAACACGTCATCAATGCCGGCACCAGACAAATCTCACTCAGGATGGCGTTCCATAGTTTGGGGGTGGCTGCCGAAAATAATAAAGAGCATCACTACACTTATACACTGGTTTTGTGCCAGTTTTATGGCCATGACTTCCTTATACAGTCATGAGGATTTCAAACTTTGTTGAGAAGGTGCTGAGGGTTCTGGTAATGCACAGCATAAGAAGGCCCCCTTCACTCGTCCCTCCAAAAAACTTCAGCCTTTCCTGAGGAAGTAATAATTAAGCCAGTTTAAGTCAGTAGTCCCAGGACAAGAGATTTCCAGCCTCACCTCCATAAGCAACTTGAGAGCGCAGTTATCACGTACGCGGCCTTCTTTGCGTGCCTGGGCAGCTAAGTTGGTAAACCAAACACAGGGAATCCAGTATCTGTTGTAGGAAGTGTTAAAATTCTCAAATTTCTTGCGTTCTTCCCGAGTCATGAAACCTGGCAAGAAAGGCAGAGAATACAGACTCTGTGACATCTTGTATTTTCTAGAGCAGTGGGTTCTCAACTTTGGGTCCCCAGATGTTCTTGGACTAAAACTCCCAGAAGCCTTCACCACCACCTCGGCTGGCCAGAATATTCTGGGAGTTGTAGGAGCCTTGTGACACAGTGGTAAAACTGCAGTACTGTAGCCAAGACTCTGTTCATGACCTGGGTTTATCCCAATGGGCTGAGGCAGCCAGCGAAAGGTTGATTCAGCCTTCCATCTTTCTGAGGTCAGTAAGCTGAGTATCTAGCTCACAAAGCAGGTGTGGGGGGCAATGTATAGCCTGCATAATTCAATGGTAAACCACCCAGAGAGTGCTTTAAGCACTGTTGGGTAGTATATAAACAGCACACTTTGCTTTCAGTCCAAGAATATCTGGGGACCCAAGGTTGAGAACCACTGATCTAGAAGGTCTAACTTCTCATGTTTACCCAGCTTGGTTGAAGAATACCCAATGAAGACTTCCTTATCCTGGCACCAGATGTGCTACACTAGAGTTCCCATAATTCCCACCTAGCACAGCTGAGGGACACTTCCTTGTGTTATGCTAAACCTTTTGAGATCAGCATGACTTCTGGGAGGAAAGTTATTCAGCTCAACTCCTTAACATACCATGAGGCGTTTTTGCCCCCCACCCCCAAAATAGTGGCTGAAATCCACTAGTAAGTAGCAACTAGGATAGGCCTATTGAATCAATAGGAATCTGGCAAAACAGCTCCTCCATCAACTCCACTGCTGCCCCAATGCCTAGGCATACAGCCAGTTCGGTCCTTGAAAATGACAATGGTTCCTTGTGTGGACTTAAATCCTTCTTGCATTTTCTGCATCTTTGTAAGCTTTACCAAGACTTTAAAAAGGGAATGGGGGGGTGATCTGGGAAACTACAGGCCAGTTAGCCTGACAAATGTTCCAGGGAAGATGGTGGAAAGTCTCATCCAAGATAAAATCTTAAAACACATAGAAGAACAAGCCCTGCTGAGGGAAAGATCAGTACGCATTCTGTAAGGGGAAGTCTTGCCTCACAAACCTTTTAGAATTCTTTGCAAAGGTCAACAGGCATGTGAATGCTGGCGAATCAGTGGATATGGTCTGTCTGGATTTTCAGAAGGCATTTGACATAGTCCCTCACCAAAAGCTGCTGAGAAATCTCTACAGTCAGGGGATAAGAGGGCAGGTCCTCTTATGGACTGAGAATTGGTTGAGAACCAGGGAACAGAGAGTAGGTATCAATGGGCAATTTTCACAATGGAGAGAAGTGAAAAGTGGTGTGCCCCAGGGATCTGTCCTGGGACCAGGTTCATCAGTGACCTGGAGACAGGGATAAGCAGTGAGGTGGCCAAGTTTGCAGATGACACGAAACTTTTCCAGGTGGTGAAGACCAGAAGGGATTGTGAAGAGCTCCAGAAGGATCTCTATAAATTAGGAGAATGGGCAGCAAAATGACAAATGCGTTTCAAGATAAGAAAATGTAAAGTAATGCACATTGGGGCAGAAAATCAAAACTTTAGTTATCAGCTCAGATTCTGAGCTCTCCATGACAGATCAGGAAAGATATCTTGGTGTGCTGCTGTACAGCTCAAGGGAAGTGTCAACCCAGTGTGTGATGGCAGTGAAGAAAGCCAATTCCATGTTAAGTATCATTAGAAAGGGGATTTTAAATAAAACAGCCAAGATTATAATGCCATTGTACAAAATGCTGGTAAGGCCGCACCCAAAGTACTGCATAGAATTCTAGTCGCTGCACCTCAAAAAAGGCATAGTGGAAATGGAAAAGGTGAAGAAGAGAACAACTAAAATGATGACTGGGCTGGGTCACCTCCCTTTTGAGGAAAGGCTACAGTACAGTGGGGTCTTGACTTGAGAACTTAATCCGTATTGGAAGGCGGTTCTCAAGTCAAAAAGTTCTCAGGTCAAATCTGCATTTCCCATAGGAATGCATTGAAAACCATTTGATCCGTATCTGCTCTTTTCCGTCCATAGAAACTAATGGGAAGCTGCTATTCCGCCTTCGACTACTAGAGGGGGATATTTTGTTTCTTTTTTTCTTAGGTCAAGAAAGGTTCAGGGAAGGCAGGGAAAATACAGTCCAGGCAGTCTGAAGACTGTCTCCCAATCCACTCTCTAAACGCTGGGAGGAGTGAGGAAGCAGACAGGCACCCTTTTCACTGGCCAACAGTTAACTGAAAGTTCAAATTTTGCACTTTCCCTGCCTCCCACGTGGTTTTTTTCAGTTCTTAACTCAAATCTTAAGTACTTAAGTCAAGTCAATATTTTCCTATGAGAGCGGTTCTTAAGTCAAAATGTTCTTAACTCGAGCCGTTCTTAAGTCAAGACCCCACTGTACTTTGGGACTTTTTAGTCTAGAGCAGGGGTGTCCAAACTACATCCCGTGGGCCACATCTGGCCCACCTTGCCATTTTCCCTTAACCCTGTGTGTGTGTATGTGGGGTGCACACCTGCAGGCACGCGTGCGTATATGCATGCATGCAGGGGGCAGGCACGGGGGGTGCGGGGGTGCGTATGTGCATATGTGCGCAGACACATTCCTGTTCCTTCAGCCCTCTAAGATGTTGAAAGTATCCAGTGTGGCTCTCAGGGTCCAAAATCTGGAGACCCCTGATCTAGAGAAAAGGCACCTAAGGGGGGACATGATTGAGACGTACAAAATCATGCAGGGGATGGATAAAGTGGATAGAGGGAAGCTGTTTTCCCTCTAATGCAATGCCAGAAATAGGGGACATTCACTCCAATTGAGTGTCAGGAGAGTGAGAACAGACAAAAAAATATTGCTTTACCCAGTTTGTTGTTAGTCTGTGGAACTCCTTGCCACAGGATGTGGTGATGGCATCTAGCCTAGATGCCTTTAAAAGGGGATTGGACAGATTCCTGGAGGGGAAAGGTCCATTGCAGGTTACAAGCCATGATGAGGGATATGTAATCTCCAGGCTTCAAAGGAAGGTACTTCCAAATGCCAGGTGCAGGGGAGGGGTATCAGGAGACAGGAATCTAGTGGTCTGGTGTGCTCCTAGAGGCATCTGTTGGGGAAGCAGGACTAGATGGGCCCTTGGCCTGATCCAGCAGGGCTCTTCTCATGTTCTTATGTAAGACAAACTTGAGGGCAACATCCACAGTTCTCTTCTCGCTGCCTTTCCCAGAATGCTCACCTCAATAGAAAGAAAACTCTCTGGGATTGCACCCACCTGCCTCCACAACATGGTCAATAGTGGGAAAGCGCTTGAACACAGCAGTGCTGACTGAGCGCAAGATCAGGACAGCGGAAAGACTGCAGTACCGCATGAGTGTTCGGCGGTAGAGCCGCCCTTTCTCATCAGCTCCATGCACATTCCCAGAGATAGCACACATCAGGCGGTCTGGCATAGGCATGCTGGTGTACTGGCTCCACCAGCGGTTCACCACCAGTGTCACGTAGAAGCCTGAAGGAACCGAGGAGACAGAGAGGGTTACCTTGCATCTTGCTCCACAACCCTTCGTCGGGAAGCATTAACTCTCTGAGCCAAACATTAGTTGAACTAAGGCTAAGAAACAAAATATATTCTGAAAACCAAAGACCCATCCTGGAAACATGGACACTGTAAATAAGGAGAAGTGGAACCTACAACAAACTGTTGCAGCATGGAGGCCTTCTGGTTTTTTTGTTTTTGTTTTTTGTTTGTTTGTTTTAAAACCACTAACCCCCACCCTCCACCATTTCCTTCTTCAGAATAGTCAACTAGTGCTTTGCGGCCACTCAGCAGACGCGTGGGATAGTTTTGGATCTCTCCCACCCTGATTCTTTTTTCCTTTGAGAACTTGCAAGCTGCATGACCATCTTTCTTCTGAGGCACGGATGGTTCTTTTTTAGCCTTTTTTGACTCTCAGTACTGACTTCGCTATTTAGGTGAGCATCATTTCCCAGGCCAAGCACAGAATACCTTTCTCTTACTGCACAATAAGCAGTGCCAAGGCTGACATATTGGGGATCAAAGAACCATAACTTCCTGGCCTGGGACTCTTCGCTTTCAGGAGATTTTACCCCTAGCTGTTATCTTCTTGAAAAGCAGCCACTAGCTAAAACAAAACTAAATCACCCACACTCTGTCTAGTTTTTTGAGCATTTCTTTTTTCTTCTAAGCTTTGAATACTACCCTGTCTTGCTCACCACCACTATTCTGGAAGCAACAAGCTGGGTGAGTGATTTTCGGATGAAGACCTGTCCCAGGACCCAGGAGAGGGGAAGAGGTTATGGTACCATAGGAAGGGGGGGAGTGGGGTTCAAGAATCTCACCGAGAACAAAGGAGACGGGTATGAGATTGGCATAGTTGTCGCAGTAAATGACCACCTTTTCAAAGATTCGTTTCCGATCCTCACTTAAGACATAGCTAGGAGTGGCAACAAGAAGAAGAGCAGGATTAAAACAGATGCATATTTGGTCCAAGCTGGTACTTTTCAAACATGTCAAGGTTCATTTGCTTGCATTCTTTCAGAAGCCCAAATAACCTCAATTATGCCGCTAAAGGTGGACTTCAGAATCAACATCCAGGGCTCCGCAGCTTGAGGATGGGGAAAGGAGGCAAACAAGAGTCAGGAAACATGGAAAGGGGCAAACAGAACCGGCAGTATCAACAACTGGACCACCAGAAGCCCTGCCATGGTCCCCTGGAACTGATATCCTTTGCTCCAACATTCTCCCTTTTTTCATATCATAAGCTATGTTTTGTTGCCAAAGAGCAACTGGGCATGTGCCTGCTTACAGATGTTTTTCCATTATCTCTTCACTTTAAAAGGCACCCTCATTTTCTACAGCAAAGTGGGATTCATTCTTTAGTACTGGACAACAGAAGCAAGTGCCTTTTTTATGCCCACAGCCACAGTGGTGATTTAAGAGCAGAAATTACAGCGTGTTTATCTTTAATTTTTTTCAGTCAGAGTTTTGTTTTGTTTTTTTCACTTGTTTTGTTGTTGACACCACTTGTCAGGAATATAAATGCTCTTGCAAAGCCTGGGAAGGCAGGAGGTGAAAGAGGGGATGTTAATTGTGTACTTCACAAATTAAGGAGTGCACCTGGCCATGAGAAGTAAACCCAAGTCTGGTTTAGATGGGAAATGTTACATTTTTGCATGACAGCTCCCAGGATACTGTACCACACCCAGGGTGGAGTCATTCCCAAACTCAGTGTTCCCATCTTGTGTCCAGAGCAGGGATGGGAAGAAAGGGAGGCAGAGCCTATAGATCCCTTCCTTCTAGGGCCAAAAGGTCCTGAGCCACAACACACAAAAAAGGATCTTGCTTAATTTGGTGATTATTTCTCAGATCCTTATTTCTATGACCATCACCCATGCAGCGAGAGAGCAGCCTGGGTAGGTGGGACTCATTAGCCTGGGAAGGCAGCCCATCTAGGAGAAGGAAAACTCTGATCTCAAACCCCCGTGCCATGAGGAGGCGCTGCCACAACCCATGCGACGAGGGAGCAGCCCAGGTAGGTGAGGCTCATCAGCCTGGGAAGGCAGCCCATCTAGCAGAAAGAAAACTCCGATTTCAAACCTCCACTGCCTTGTGGCTATATCCCCTCATGGAAAAGGCTTCAGGAGTAAACCTCGAGGCAAAATCCGGAGCTGGAGTCCCAGAGGCAGTTCATATTGTTATGACAACTCCTGCGACATCGCTGGAACCAGTTGTATTGGCTCTTGCCTTTCCATTGGACCATTTCAGCAATGTGGAGAGGGGGGATTTACTGCTTGGGTAACAGCCTATCCTCCATATTATTTTACCCAAGCTTCGTGCTCTGGAGAGGACACTCCAGCTTCGCATACAGAGTTAACATCCTCCATACAGAGCACATTACCGTAGTCTCTTGAGACTGAAGGATGCCTATGTAAAATTTCCATGAACGTTCTAAATAGAACCATTCAAACTGAATGAGGGCCAAAAAAAAAAAAAACCCACACTCAAGCTCTCAATGGAATTGTGGGTTGGTTTACAATGTTTAAGAAAAATGGGACATAACTTTTTAGCACTCTTGAAACATATTTTCAAAAACAGGCACCAGAAATCTGTTGGTGACTTGTACCTGTAGAAGTTAAATTGTGTCACTCACGTTAGCAAATGGCCACTAACTAATGAAGCTAGAACTGGTTGCTCTGAGTTTTTCGGGCTCTTTGGCCATGTTCTGAAGGTTATTCTTCCTGATGTTTCGCCAGTCTCTGTGGTCGGCATCTTCAGAAGACAGCAACCTGTACTCTCAGGTTGCTGTCCACTGAAGATGCCGACCACAGAGACTGGCGAAAAGTCAGGAAGAACAACCTTCAGAACACGGTCAAAGAGCCCGAAAAACCCAGAACAACCATTAGATCCCGGCCGTGAAAGCCTTCGTGAATATATTGAAGCCTGAACTCCTGATCAGCATGTTTGTTTGTTTTGTGATTTTGTTGGTTGGGTCCCGTTTCAGTTTTCTGTAGGTGGTGGGGTCTAGAAGTTCCCTGATTTGTCCTTGTATTCTCTTCTAATGGTGCTCTCCTAGCATTCTTTGCTCCTTGCCTTGGCTATCTTTTCTGGCTATTATTTATACCCTTATCTCCCCTTCATCAGCTATCAACAATCCTTTTTGACAGGTTTGAGCTAAACCTGAAGGAATTGTTAAATACAGTTTTTGTACATAGCAATAAGTATTTATCAGAATCAGTACTATAGAATGAAGTAAGGCAAGAATTTATACAGCTGAGTAAATTATAATAGCTGTGAGAGCAATCCCAGGATTGGCTAACCCTGGGATAAAGCTAGCAGACCTAGCACACACACTCTGTGGTGGTGTGGGTTGGTATCGTAGTGGATTGCT